CTTTTATCAAGCAAATTTCCTAAAATATTCATTAGTGCGATTTTGTGCTAAAATACTTCTCACAGCTCGTATGATTTCAAGTTTTACGAGTTTAGTGAATCAATGTTACCACATTAATAAAAGTCGAATTGTTTCTGTAAGAAAGAGATGAGCTTGTCCATTAATTATTCAAGGTGAAAGCAGAAGAAATTTTGAAATGACGCCAGCAAGGATGCGATTTAGGATCTACTTTACCTGTCCAACCCACGCACCCATTGAACTTTCTGCACTATTTTGAACTCCAAAATCTAAATTATGCAATATCGCTTCTTCCTATGCCTGACTATGAGTGTGTTAAGCGTAAGCGAACATCTTGGATGTAGGGAAACTTCGACAAAACAACGTGTGCAAAATTAGAGCAAAATGTGCAGGAATTTGCATACCTGATCACATTGTGAACCAAATTCAGGACAATTTTTTAATAGACGAAATTTCAACAAAATTACACAACCAGCGAAATTTTTCAACAATTAGTATTTAAACTTGAAATACACTGAACTGATTATGTATTTTTTAACAATTTGGCCAAAAAATGTTAAGAATTTTAAATAATTATAAATATATTTTAGTTAATATTATTCCTTGAAAAAAAGCCAAATTTTAGTTTGCTAAAAAATACATTTAAAGAATCTTTGAATTAAGAAAGTGCAAAAAATGTGAAACAATCGAGTGTATAAAATCATCAAATGTATTATTTTTATTAATGGAAATAGGGTGATGAATAAACTGTGTACCAAAAATTTTCCTGAAAATTCCATGAATTTTGCATCACTTTCACTTTCATCGAAACTGCATTTCGTTTCTACCACCTACACAACTTTCACTTTCGCCATTTTGTTACATGATCTCCATCCAGCCGTTTTAATGGGCAAGTTTACAGGGCCAATTTAATATATTATTTCTACACGTTTCCTCACTACGCCAACATTTTGTCTGTTCTGTGACTGCACAAACACAATTCTAAATGGAACACGAAACACAACCCGGTCGCCAAGTGGGCAACATTGTTCAATTCAAAAGCAGTGTCAACAACACGACTTTGTCAACTGCGACATTTGTAAATTCTTCATTCTACATTCACACACTTCATTCACGTTGCATTACAGCGCTGCATGATTTGTTTGCATAGTGTCAACTTCGCTGCGGATAAAATATGGTGGGCAGACCACCCTTAAAAATTTACTAGAATGCAAGTCCACACATTAAATCGAGAAGAATAGTGAGTGAATATGATGCCAACAATGCCGTAATGTCAGGACTACGTCCAGTTTGCCCTCTTTTTTTGTATGCGAAACAGCAACACCGAAATTTACTCCGTTACTTAGTTCCTCATGAAGCATAAAGTCGCGACAAAATTCGAGCAAATCAGAAATGAAAGACTTTCTCTTTTTTATTTTCTCTTTACTTTCACTTTTGCTGCTCAACCAAGGCCAACGACGTGCTAAGGGAGGACGAATTGTAAAAATGGGTCGTAACTTAAACTTGGCTTAGTTAAGGTGCCGGTAATAAAGTGACCGTGAGGAAGGTATAATCACGTTGGTGCAGTATAGGAGAAAACAGAGAAAGCAAATAGGACGCCGTAAAATTCGCTGTAAAAAACACAAAGACGAGAAAGTGAAAGAAAGCGAGGTGCAAATGGTTTGAGGCGACTTTAGGATAGGTTTCGGCTGGGGACGTTTGCTAACATTTTTCCTGACATTTTGGCCTCCTGAATTTCCTTTGATGCCTGTATTTAAAATTTTTTAATTTTACCAACGCCGCTTCGGTATTGCAAAACCCGTTATTCATGTTTGATAAAATTTAATTTATAGTTTACATAAACAAGCAAATCCTTTAAATTTGTATGAACACGTTACAAAATTTTGAATTTAATCTTTGAACTATCATTCGTTTCGGTTTGGATATTTTTTTCAATTGAATAATTCGGATTCGGTTCGGATGGATATTTCTCCAACCGAAATATTCGGATTTGGTCCGGATGGATTAGAAAAACTGTCCAAGTCCAACCGACTCAACTCTGCAAGCATTGCTCCATGCATTATTCGATATTGCACAACACACCCACTCCTACACATAATGTTAATAATCTTGCAAAAACCTGTACTTGAAATGTATCTAAAGGGTGTTAATAAAGTCCGATCCCATGAATTTTTTGGAGCGCGGTTGTTACAAATTCAGCTGGAACTTTTGAACCAGTGAAGTTATTTATTTCAAATTTTTACCATGGGAGGAACAACTAAACGTGTAAGTCATGAGCATCTTAGAGTTAAGATACAAACATTGCATCAGCAGGGGTTTAAACCTGCAGAAATTGTGCAAAAATTGGGCTGCAGCCGCAGAACTGTTTGGAAATGGAAGAACAAAAATTTTGTCCACGACAAAAAGCGACCCGGGCGACCCAGAAAGGTGTCACCTACCACAAAGAGAATGATTAAAAACAGACTTTACAAGAAAACCGGTAGTTCATTACGTAATTGTGCAAGGGAGTTAAATGACTCAAAACGCTGTAAAGAGAAGAAGAAGCAAATTAACTATGTGACCGTGCAAAAATTTGTGAAATCTACGAGGTGGGGTCACACAGCTTACAAACTAACCAAAAAACCTCTCATGTCACAAAAAAATATCGATGACCGTCTGAAATTTGGAGAACTCCTTCAGAAAAGTGGCCATTTGAGTGAAAAAAGACTTGGTGAAGAATTGCGCAGTCACATCCTTTGGACTGACGAATCTATTATTGAGCTATATCCAAAATTGAACCAACAAAATGTTCGTTACAGGACAGAAAACAAATCGGATGTACCATCAAGAGTAGTCCCAAAATTCGGGCTTAAAGTTATGGTAGCGGGTGGATTTTGTGCACGTGGCGTGACTCCTCTACATATCATACCAAAAGGCCAAACAGTCAATGCAAAGTATTATATGGAAAAAATATTACCTATCTATTTCGATAGCATGGGGAACAAGGAAATATTTCCGAATGAAAGAAAAATAGTTTTCATGCAGGATGGTGCTACAGCCCATACAGCAAAAGCGAGTTTGAGTCTCATCAAGACACAAGTTTCAACGGTCTGGAGCAAGGGGGTGTGGCCCGGAAACAGCCCAGATTTGAATCCCCTGGAGAACCTGTGGTCCATACTTAAGGAAAATGTATACAAAGAACCACAACCCCGGACGAGGGAAGAGCTAGTAAAAAAAGTTCAAGATGTATGGAATTCGATTCCCACAGACACATTGGAAAAATTAGCACAGAGCCTTAAACAAAGAGTTGAGGGCATGGTTAAAGTAAATGGTAACAAGACCAAATACTAAGGTAAATATGTCGAACATTTTTTGTAAGTATCACGGGTAGTTTTTTTTATACTAGCCTTCACTTTTTTATAGGAAAAATGGGATCGGACTTTATTAACACCCTTTAGTTAGATTTGAGATGTCACAAAATAAATTAGTACTATTATGTATTACAATACTGTATTGGTGCGTAGTACATTAAATGGCGTGGGTCAACATGACATGGGTCAATTTTGCATTGGGTGAATATTGTATGGGTCATATTGTCGCTGGGTCAATATGACCGGAGTAATATATCGCATATTAATTTGACATGGTCAATTTGACCCAACGAGCGATTTAATCGGTAGTTTGTTTATATATTTAAAATCTATGAAATGTTTATAACCGTCGTCTTTATTACACAAATCTGAATTCCATGAAAACAATTGTCATGAAACACAATGCGCAAACATATTTAAGTAAAACCGTGATCAGTTTCGTACAAAATCTTAACCAATCAGGAGATAATGTCAAACTCATCCTGAATTTTCCTGTATACTTGTAGGTTGCTAATTTCCTGCTCACTTTTTTGTATGAAAGTACAAATTGTAAAGAAAAATAATGTATTTACATTCCTATTTTTCACAAAATGAACATTGATGATTAAATACGAGATACGAAGTACAATATTATTTGTAAAACAGTGACGAATATTTAAATGGCACCAAATATGCATCTATAGGGAGCATTTTGACTAGGAGAAAGTGTCCGAAACCTATAATTAACCCGATTTCGCGGACTTGCACGATGTACCGTTTCTCTCGCAACATTTGGCCCAAAGGAGAAAGAAACTGCATTTCATGGCAGCCTTGAAGTTAAACTGAAACCCTTTGGGCGAAAACAATTTGAAGGTTTTTGTTGTCTAGATTTTTCTTCCTTTTTCCAGTTAACTTTTACTACGGGCGATATATTTCTTTTTCCCTCGTATTGTGCAAGATCGTGTGCCTGCAGTGGCCATAAAACTAAATAGGGTTGCACAAAATCAAGATAACCGTTCATTTTTGGGGGAAATTGTGCATTTAATTTTATCAAGGAGCTGTACCCTACACATCCCAATAGAATAAAATTGTGCACATTTTTGCAAATGTATATACAAATTTATTTTGGCCGAAACTGGGAGAATTTGTTATGACAATTTTTCTTTCATTTAGATCTAATTGTGGAGTTTCTATTTTCATAACGAAGAATGTATACCAGAAGATATGCTGGAAACGATTTAATAAATAATTAAGTATTTGATTGAAAAAAATGTCTCTTTTTTAAAGGTGGATATTCCCTCGTCTTTAACTTGCTAAATTAGAGAGATTTTACAAATTTTACTGAAAGATTGGAACATTTCAGATACGTACTTCGTATGGAATATTGAAAAATATTTTGGTTCTGTAAGTGAATCAATGCTATTGAAAGTGTCCGTCTAAATTTTCAAATTTGCTAGTGAATAACGTCGTACTAAAAATGTTGATTACTTGAATATTTAAAATTATCCGGTGATGCATCATAGGGATTCCACACTTTTTGTTTTAATTGTTCAAAACTAAGAAAATTTTCACTTTGAAATAAAACATCCAAAATTTCAAATCCATTGAAGGATATGTAATTATGGTCGGATTTAAAAAATCCCTTTTACTCACCTTAACCGTTAGTCCGCTCGTCTATCTTTAGACTTAAAATGTTCAATTTAGAGAAAACTGCACTTATTTATCCTTCAGAGAAACTGCTTCAGGTCAACAATTCCTGAATCCCTGCTTCCCTCCGTAATACCCGGATTCGTTCCGTAGTCACAAAAACACACTTAAACCGAAAACCTTAAAAACACAGACTGAGACACTTGCACAAATACAAAGTTTCAGCCAAAACGAGCAATTCAATCGCGACAAAGTTCATTAAATTAACGATCCACTTCACACTTGGAAGTCGTAGTTTTAGTAAAATTCCCGATTTGGAAACGGTAAATACAAATCTTGTCCAAGTCGTGAAAACACTTCAACTTTGCAATTTACATTTAAACTTGTACATCTCCTCTTAAGTTCAGTCGTCGAGATTATGCATGGACGAGGGTGATGTTTTTGCTCAGTTTTTACCCTATTTTACGATCTTGTCATGAATTTTCGGTGTGTTTTTTCTTGTCCGAGAGACGTTTCTCTTTGACGTGTTGTTGTTTTGTTGGTGTATTATTATTATTGAAAAAATCTGTCGAGCAGAGTGTTTTACATGGAGTGAATTTTGAAAAAGTCGAGTTTTTGTGGTGAATATTTTCAGAAGTGGATGTTCATTTATTTCTTGAGGTAGACAAGGAACTTTAGTGGAACGTTGGGTTACAGGAAGAGACGACACATGGCAGGCAGATGTCGAGACAAAAAGTCTGGAAAATGGTGTATTTTTGCGTAGTTGGGAGTTTGATGGGCTAATGAAGGAGAGGGATGAAAAGCTGATTGTGCTTTATGTGTAATTTTGCCTTTGAAGCTGGAATATTTAGGAATTGTGGGGTTTTAGTTGGCAGATTATTACTTTAAGCACAGTTCTTTTATTTTGTATGACATTTTGAAAATACGATCAAAATATTTGGTAGATTTAGAGCTTCAATCTCATCTACCTTTAACACGTTAATCGTAATTTTGAATTACACAAATTTTAAGAAGGGCTTCTAACTTCAGCAGTTTTTAATTGATTCGCTTACTTAATCGAAGTGTGTAACGCTAAAACACAAATTTACTTCTACAATTTAGTGATCAATACACTTTCACAAATATTAATCTTGTCCTCGTAATTCGCAAGTTAATTAAAATATCGTAAAACACTTCACTCACAAAATGTCACTCGAAACTATTTCAAGTAGTTTTTCCGTACCTTTCAATAGTTAATATTTGCCAAAAATTGTGCAAGTCGCAGATCTGTCCCTTTACTTTCACAGTTTTCACTGGACACGAAAACGCTTAATTTTGTACAATTCCGTTTCAAACAATTACATAAAGTGTAATTATTTTCGTTATGCTGATTACATTTCAAAATATGCCCTCGAAATAGAAATTTTTGAACTACAATACTTATTTTCAAGGTTTTCCAGAGAGCTTTTTTTGTAGGTTTTATGCGTGGCAACTTGAGACTCGAAAAGTGACGATTGCGACGAAGCGAGCTGTTCTCTTGTCAGAGATCCGAATGAAACTGAGCTTTGGTCGGCTGGAGATGTGAGATTTCTGTTATTTTCTCCGCAATGATGTCTCGGAAAGTGTTGCATATCCTAAGATTCCGTTCGAGCGAGTCACGCAACGAGAAGACTGAACTGAAAACATGTGCACACATCTGAAAAATATTGACTACTCAATATTGCGTAATTTAGTAAATGTATGAAAAAAACGTATTTTTCGAACGTGTAGAAATCTGAAATTTTTGTGATGTGCTAATGGAACCACTAAGAAAATACTCAAGTATTAAGATAAATTCCTTTAGATACAAATTTTACAAAAATAATTAACTTGAATGAGGATAAAAGCTTGACAATAAAATATGCTAAGCTTGCACACCAATTTTGGAAACGGTAAGTATTTAGCATCCATAGTTAGAGATAGTAGGTGTTAACTTAGTTATAAAGTGTATTTATTCCAGTTTACATTTTTTCGCAACTACTTAAGTAATTGGCAAGTTTTAATTTGCCATTTTTTCAATTATGTACGAAATCACCGGGTTTCCGGGCTGGAGGAGGAGAACAATATTTTTGCAGGGTATGCAAATTTTTGGTAATTTTTCGCAACACAACAAAGGTTTGCTTTACATACTTACACATGTCACTGCCGGGTCAAACATTTCCTTGACCTGGCTGACCTCACCTTACACACTTTCTTCTTCCGTAGAATGGCATCATTATCCACGAAATAAGGAAGTGTACCGCATTTCCTCCTCGGCAATGCCCAAGGTGTCCATTTCTCTGGGTTAATATTAAGACTTTATCAGAATTTATAGCCCTGCTGAGAGTGCCTCCTCAATAAAAATGATAAACTTCTCCGTCTTGTTGGTTTCCGAGGCGGGCTCCGATACACAATTTGTCTCGCTGGAAAGAAAACCAACTTATTTTAATGCAATGCAAAAGCGCAGCCAATTTGTTGCCGGCTTAATAACGACGAAGCCGGAGAGCAAATTACATTCGGCTGCTTGGGGACATCCCTCGACCACTTTAATGAATTGAAGGCTCCAACAAAACAAGGGTTGCGGAGGTGCATTAGGAAAACGAGACGGAAGACGACGATGCCGTCTTACGATGAAGAAAATGAGGTGAAGTTTTGAGAAAGGATGCAGTTTTTGAACACTTTTAAGAAGATTGTAATAGATTACAAAGTTTGGGAGGAACAATAATGTCGATTTAATGGTAAAACGTACCGGTAACAAAATGCAAATTTGAGGTAAAACTTTGCCATTTTGTGACAAAAATGTATTCATGCAGCTCATTTCATTGGGAGGAAAAGTAACATAAATTTCTAAGGGTGCCCTGAAGAAGAAGGAATACAAAAATCTAAAACATAAAAATCCAAAGTATGATTCAGCAGTGGTAAGTAAATAGAATTGATTTAACGTTACGGGACAGTTTTTCGATAAAGAAATAAAAACAATTCCACTGGAATGGGACCCTGCGCAAAGGACGTAATTAATTTGACGGATTAGTCCTTACAGCCCTGGTGGTAGTTCAATTATCACAACGTTAATTATAGCGTTGGACATGTAAAGTGTGAAATTCTCTAAAAATTGACCACATCCTTTCTGCGTGGTCCTTCCAGGAACTGAGGGAGCCGTAGAAATATGTAAAGGACATATAACAAATGTGACAACATGTCGAGCGCATCTGCAGCCAGGTGAATCTCGAGCCATGCATCTTGTTCAAATCTTCATAAAGTTTAAGGTACGATGCCCTATAAGTCATCTCCCTCGGTATAAAGCACTGTTACCGCAGTACTGTAAAAAATGTAAAGGTTCCTCCGATGAAATTCAGTGGTATTGCACTGAATTTACATATATGTGTGTGTGCATCTGTATTATGAATAGTTTGATTTTTGACGGAGGTGGAGGTCGTGCGAAAAGGATGAGATCGAGAATACCGTTTTTCGAGGATGTTTATAATCCCTGCGACTTTAATAGCCTTGTAAAATGCTGATAAATAAAATTAAGGGACGCGATCAGGATGAATTTTTAGCAAATTTTGCTCAGTAGTCTTTCCAACCTTGTGTAGGATTTACGGAGTTTACAAAGTGTACAGAGTTTCCAGTGTTAACGAGTAAATTGCATATAAATATTTAAATGCAATTAAGACAAGTAGTTATTTTTTCTTGTAATACAATAACGTCGTACGTTATATTTTAGTGATTCTTATTATGAATTGAAAATCGTAGATTTTTGGGATGAACACTGTTCAAATTAAACACACCGAATTAAAAGTGTTTGGGCTGGGGAAGACGGAGCTTTGAAAAATATTTTGTCCCATCAATTCAAAAGAAGTAATACTTCAAAATGTAGTTAGAGACACGAAAAATAAGCATTTCTGCAGGTAGCTCAAACATTTAGATAATGAAATTAAGAAATGCTCGATTTTGCTTGGAATACAATTACGTCGTAAGTTATTTCTTCGTGATTCTTACTACAAAATGAATATTTTCAGGTTTTTGAGTTGAATAATGTTGAGTTAAAAGTCGATGGGAAGGTCCAACTTTGTAAAATATGTTGTCACATGAACTTGAACAAAGTAATACAAACTGGTCTTAAAATTCAGTGAGAGACGCGAAAAATGACCGGCTCGGGCCATAGCAAGTCTCAAACATTTGACGATGCCATCCATTCTGCCAGGCCCCCGCCAACCATTTGATTTGAGATTGGACTTTAATGCAGTCCCAGAATGTGCGTCTGTATTGATTTGGTATTGCTGCGTGTTGTCTTTTAAATTGTTCTAAGGGACACATCAACATCAACCAAGGGAGCGTGCATAAAAGATGCGATCCATTCACTATACATACTGGATTCTATAATTATACCCTAAGAAATTATACCACCGTATTATCAACAACCGGTGAGAAGTATACATATTTGACTTCACGGGATGGTAATAATATGTCACCGCTCGGTTAGAGCGGGTCACTATATGTAGAAACAGCCTACCACTAATAGGATTGAGTGGCAGTCTATTACCAAGCGGAAGTATGCTACCACCGAAATAGTAACAACCCTGATCACCAGAGCCGGTAAAGACACGTATGTCACCGATTTGAAAAGAGCTTCTCCTCACTAAATTCATCCCATTCTTTACGCAAGTTCCCCGATTATATTCGAGTGGTTGTTGATATTCACGCATAAAATGGGGATACGTGTGCGTAAAGAAAGCTGGTGGTTGGCAGTGGGCAGAGGAGATGGGACTTGAGGCCTCAAGTGTATTCTTAACGGGCAGAAGAGGATGATATTGATCCCTTCGTTCGTGCGGCAGGCTGACTTTTATATTCTTCCTTCGCCGTACTCACTCTTCTTATCGTCCTTCGGCGTCTTGAGTTCAGCTCCATTGTTATTGCGAAGAGTGAGTGCTGCTGGTCGTTGAGAAGGGTGAAGTTAAGTTATGGACGAGAGAAATGTATTCAAAAAAAGTTTAGGAATATGAAAGAGTGTGCTTATGTAAGAGTTCAAGTGCACGAGATGGATGCGTAGTTCAGGGATTTTGGGTGTGCTCACGTGGATTTTGCATATTTATGTAGGGGAATATTTTTGCATAAGAAATTATTTTGCGAAATAGAATAATTGTTATGTGGCTAGAGGGATAGATTTTCTGATAAATTGGGTCATTTACATATTAGTCAAAAGTATATTTTTAAAATAGTTTGCAACTTTGTAAAAATTAAGATTTACATTTGGTGCAGATTTAAAATTATTGAAGGGTTTTTTAGTGACAAGTACAAACACTTATGAAGATTTTTATAGGATGACTTTTCCTTCAAAATTTGACGTGAAGTTACGCATCTTTATGTTGATGCCTGCTTCGAAACACTGCTCAATGTTTCCACTGAAATGTTTCCACTGCAGAAATTTCATCATTTTGCACAATTTCGTTAATTTCGAAATGAATCTAAAGTCCTAATTCTGCATCATTCTAATCACAAAGTAATGATTTTAGTCGAGTTTAGAGCTCTATGAATTTCCAGACTTTCTCAGAAATACGTCTCCCTTCAGAATGCAACATTACATTCACGATTATGTAATGACTTCCTGTGGGCCCGTGCGTGGATGGTGTGATTTGGGAAATTTTTAGCACTAGCCACCCCAAACATGCGAGTAAATATGCAATTCACATAAGAATAAGAAACACAGCATCACCCACATCGAACCCATTCTCTGTGTAGGGTTCCCATTATGTATTTTCCCTGGAAATGGATGCGATACATTTCTCGAAATTTTATTGCCCATCAAAATATGCAGTCGATTTAGTCAATTGAGGAATTTCGTTGTGAATAAGTGATCCCATAAAAAGTGGAGAAAGTTCAAAGAAGGGAAACCAGTTTTGTTTCGTAGTAGCATTTTTCCCCATTTGAAACGAAACCTGGTTAACTTTGTGTTTAAAATATGCATGAATTGTTGTTTTTATTATGGTTATGATGTGGCCCGTGCGAAATGGATGAGATCAGATGTAGGAGGATTTTTAAGCCTATTTTATTCTGAGAAACCTAATGTTATCGTTTTTCGTGAACAGAACGGAAGATGGAAACAACTTATACTTTTGAAGGGAAGTTGAAGTTTTAAAATTTTATAAATGCCAAATAACATGCATTGTAGGGGCAAAGGATTGGATGATGCATGTTATTTCGGAGAAAGTTGGAGGAGCGGGGTATGTACTCTCGTAAAAATATATATGCACGAATGTAAAAAAAAAATGTGTAAAAAGTGTGCACAATTTTTAAAAATTTGTATAATATAGAGTTTTTGGGAAGAATGTAAGTAGTATGCGGTTTTTGAGGTACAGAGTAACCTTTATTTGAGGGGAAAGTATTAAAGTTCGATTTTTAGAGCCGACTTGGTTCCACCGTTCACCCTAATCCTAAGTTTGACTTTTCTTTGTTATCATTGTCATCTTTTTTAGAGGACAAAAAATGTAAAGTAGTTTAGAGATGGTGTAAAAAG